AACAGAGATCAAGAGCTTTAAAACGATATATAGCTTGTCAAGGATTCGAAACAGCGGAGAAAAAGGTACCAGAGCCAAAGCCCGCGCCCCGCGTTTGGGGTAGCGAGGTAGCGCGCAGCGCGCGGAGACGCAGGCGAGCAGCGGAGACAGACCAGAGCCGACGGGGCATTTGGCTCTGGTCGTAGATCTCGTCGGGGTCTCAAACCTTGTAACATTATATATCATTCTGACCGTCATGACACGACGAGGAGAGCTGATAACACCCCAAGCTTTAAAAGTCACTTACTAACGAGATAGACCAGCATTTTGGTGCGCGACTCTCTGCGCACATTTAAGCGCAGTTTCTCGTTTTAATTCAACTCCAACAGCTTTCCCAAACTTTTGGAACTTATTTTTGGTCAAGTAAGAGGCTAGTGAACGTTGTCCTGAGTTATGAGGAAACTTTCACAGAAATTCTTTTTTCAACGTAAAAAAGGCTTTAAAAAAGCAATTTCTCGGTTTCGCTGAGATATTCTTCAGATATTCTGTTTTATATTTGGTTCATTCACATTCTTCCGATATAGTCAGGATAATAACATCGGGGGCTTCGCCCCGGATGACTTCTGTTTTTTCCAGGTGAAGGTTGTGTCCCCTCATAGCCCTCAAAGTGAAGGTTACCAGAGTATGTGGTTCTATGTATCGAGGATATGGCGGCGCTTTTAAGATTTTGCATTAAAAAAAATTCCTTAACCCTCCCAGAAGCGCTTTGCAGATACCGAAAGTATTGTTGAAATCAGCGGTTCGTGCTCTATAAGATAGTATACATATTGTATGGAAACGCCACTTTGATCGAGTATCCATCCTTTATGAGAGATCAATTATGACCCATTCGCTTTGCTTAGCTTTTCAATTACGCAAAGTCAAGTAAAGGAAACTAACCGGAAAGCCTTTTTAGCAGAAGCGGCCGTTCGAGATGAGGTGTATGTTGCTGAAGTGATGCTTATCTCAAACTTGCACTGCTTAACAGAAAGTTTGAAGAAAACTTTGGTGTTAGGAACAAGTTTATGAATTTATGAAAATATCTGTGAGAGACTTGCGCCTAGAACCCTCTGTGCGTCAAGCAATCACACTTACGCTGAATCATTCTATCATTAGAACGTCCTGCAGTGGTCCCATGCCAGTTAATAAGGTGATGTGTAATATCTTCAAACTTGTTAAATTTTCGAAAAAGCTTTCCGCAGATAATGATTGCTTCCGCAGTTAGTTTAATCAGCAATTATCACTGACTTCTGTAATATTCCATCTCGAAGAGGCATCTTAAGGCAATCCCTGTAAGAAGGAATATTCCAAACTACCTCCTCTCGAATTCCAACATTGGGGTTTCCATTCATAAAATATTAGGTCGTTTCAAAAGTGATTTCGCTTTTTTCAAACGGAACCGCATTTGACGGATCAAAGTTTTATAAGAGATCTTGGAGGCATTCGATCCAGAATTTCATTCTCTTTCTAATCGTTATGGGAAATAGTCAATGAGCTTTCAGAAAATGACCGAAATCTGCGACCCATGCTTTTTGAGATAGTCAAGTTCTACAATTTTTCAAAACTTTCGTATCAATCCTCAGAAGGAGTTCAAGTAACGGTTCGATAGAGTAAACCTTATAGAATATAGCACTGCTTTTTTTCTCTCTTTTCTAGCTTGGCGTAATTTTTTAAAAGATTTTTTAACAAAACCATCGAATTTTGGCGGGGCTACGTCAGCCACAATCGCAGCAAATAGCGGTAATTATTCGGAATTTGAAACTTCCAAGATGGTATATGACTTAATATTGATTTTACAATGCAAGTGAGAGCTTACGGATTCAAAATATCAAATTTCGAGATTTTCGGGTACAGCCTGGGGCTCGCTAAAATGAGTTATGATGATTTCTCCCCGGTAACTAAACGAATCGGGAACAAAAAACACCTATTAGAAAGGGGAGTAAATGCTGCATCGAATAGTGCGCGAGCTGCTCTTCTTTTGATGTTCTACAAGGATTTAGCTGCCCAAGTATGGAAATCGGTAACGTCAGTTAAAATTCTGTTAAAGATGTATGACAGGCTATGGAAAGGAGAAAAAAGTAGTACTGTATTCTATAAGATTTACTCTATCGAATCGTTACTTAAACTCCTCCTGAGGATCGACATGAAAGTTTTAAAAAATTGTGAAACTTGACCATCTCAAAAAGCATTGGTTGCAGATTTTGGATATTTTTTGAAAGCTCATTGATTGTTTTGCAACAATTTCATAACCATTAGAAAGAAAATGAAATTCTGGATCGAACGCTTCTACTCCTAAAAACCTTTGTTCCGCCAAATGTGGTGCCCGTTTGAAAAAAGCGAAATTACTTTTGAAACGACCTAATACTTTCGCATTAATCGCTTTCTATAGTTACCCACCAGCAAAAGGGAGGCTCACTTCCCCTCCCCCCCCCCCACCCCTCCTCCTCTCCCACCCCTATATCCAGTTTTGACACATATTTCGTTTTGAAATCGCCAAGAGTGAACAAAAGGTGGCAGTTCATCCAGTTCTCTCCATTTCTGCGAGACCACATTTTCCGAGTTACCTGTATGGTGTAGGTATGAAGTGTCTTTCGCTCCGACAGTATCGCACCAGTGCTATGGCGAAACGATTTGCTCTTACTGTTCTTTAGAGCGGGCCGCCAGGCAAAGCATTATTCCTCCCAGCCATTCGTGTTCGAAAGCTGACTTGTTCGGAAGGAGTGCAAGTGGTACCCGAGCAGTCGACTGTTGCCAAGCCAGAGCTGCCGGCAAAGTCTCTGCAGATGGTACAGTAATTATTCTCGTCGTCTAAAGTCGTCTAAAAGTTTACAAATATCACAAAAGCTAATAAATAGAAAATCATGTCTGCTTTTGTTGCAAGTTTTGACAACAATACAATGATTGTTTATCGATGCAGTATTCAGAAATTTCCGATTTTTCAAAGAAAAATTGTTGAAAGTCAAACTCACTTTTCTATGAACACTTGTTTAAGCGGTTATTAGGGGTGGTCCTTTACAAATCGGATCATTTTTTAACAGCAACGAGTTCGGTTTTAGCTTTTTCATTATTTTTTTCACTTTTCTGAAAATCCTGTTGAAATGAATCTCAAGCTTAAGACCAAGGTACTTTTAGATCAGGATAGATTAAGATAAGACATTCTGACTTCTTAGGTCCGTATGCACATACATCCCCGCTGGGGAGGGGAGGAGATCTGATGCGTCATATCTCGCTCTTCTACGTATCTTTCTTCTTCTTTCTCTATCTTGCTTATGAAGTTTTCCATACACTTGTACCTGCGCATAATGGATACCAGGTTACTGTTATACATCAACGGCTTTTTGCCATTTTGTGTAATCCCCAGGCAATTCCCAGGGGTCCCTAGGGGATCACCACTCATTTTCACAATGATTCATCTTCCTGAGAAGTCATTAAGTCGCTGCAAAATTGTACTGAGGACATACTACGGCACTGCTAAGCATGTTTGCGACAGAGAAATGGAATCTGAAGATGGTAATTTTTCGATGATCCCTGGCTCGCGAGTTAAGGATTATCGAAGATTTCGATATCTTGAGATTTCACTTATTTCTACTATAAACATCTTTATCAGTGCCGTAATATATAGCGGGGGATGTACGTGCATACGAGCCTTAGTGATCTATGCTGTTCCCTTTTAAATCAGTATTTTCACCTTTTATCAGTGGCTTACTCAAATTTATTTGACCTACTTTGACTTATTTAGCTCGCCTTAACATCACTAGGTCATAAATACTAATTTTGACAGACCTCTCTTTTTGTATCCCTAGCATTTTCCAGTAATCGTTAACGTCCGTTCTTCGACGTTTAAAGCGAAAAAAAAGATATTTTGAAGAAGACTGAAGATTTTTTGGATTTTTCAGCTTCTGCATTTCGAGTATTCAAAGTGATTTGAACTGTGACCATTCTCCTTTGAAAAGATTCTTCTCTGTATAAGCTATCTTTATTTGCATGGTTCCCACAAATTATGAATTTTATGGTATTCAAAATGATGTAGATATCGAGGATATTACGCTATCCCCTGAAGCTGATGTCGCGCCTCATCGCGTCGAGGTGCAAAGAAACATCTCTTTGAGAGTTTTAGACAAGTTCTAGACAACAAGCGTAAATTACTGTACCATCTGCAGCGATTTTGCCGGCAGCTCCGGAGTCTGACTGATGAGGCAGCAGTCGGCCCGATTACCACTTGCTAGCACCCGACTTGTAGCACCAGATTCCAAGGATAAATGCTCGCTCGCAGTGTTACAAGTAGGGGAAGGCAACTCGTAAAAAAGGATTGCGACCGCCAACTCATAAATTCCACTCCCTTTTTTCTATACTCGCTTCCAAGACAAAGTATTAGGTTGATGCATAAAAATGCATGTTGCTTATTCTTGGGCGGCAGAAAAGTAAAAAAAACTACGGAACATATCACTCGATAGAGCAAAGCAAGACTTACAATAAGTTGTTCGAACAATTTCAAAAAGTTTTATGCATAGGTTAGAAAGAAATTACCAAGAACTTCCAAATGTCCAAAAATCGGATCTCTGTTCAGAAAAATCTCACTGATCTCGCTTGCTCATGAAATTTGTTGCATCAGCTATGCATATCTACACTGCTGCTTTCCTAATAAGTTGAAAAAATGAAATTCGGCATGTTTTGGCAAGACCAATGCTAGATTGTTTCCGCATAATTATGTTTATACCGTGGGCCTCTGAAAGTATAAGAATAAATTTCTAGACTTCTTTGAGCGTACTATCTTGAGAAATATGAAGTTTGACGTAAAAAGTCCAAAAAAAGAGACATTTTTGATTTATTGGCCTATTTTCAATCTCTATTTTTAATTACGAACAAAATGCGGAGGTTTACTAAACATCTTATGTAAATTCTTCTTGTAAAGTCTGAACTACTCTAAGAATTCACACTGTCATTTCTTTGATCAGATAGTTGCATGAGAGTCACATTTCCAGATATTGGGATGTTCAAGCTACAGTTTCCTGTAATCTCACATAAGCTTCCCAGGTAATATTTTGATTCTGCAATAAAATTTTAGAACTGCGTGCTGTCTAAAATGTCTCATACATGTACAAAGCGTTTGATTGCCGATAAACCTCTCTGAACAATTTTAGTAGAGTTTTAGACACGATGTTGTAGCGCTGGCTTTAACTTGGAACTGCAATAGTAAAATTACCAATCTCCTTTTATTACTGAAGGAGTACAGTAAAAACTTGCAAAACAGTGTGTGCGAATTAATGTTGCTCCCCAAAAACTTATTCAAAGAAGCTGCTCTGCTATCTCACAGCATCAAAATCTTACCACTTCCCCTCTTGGACGGTGCCTCCAAGCTGAGAAGTGGAAGCATTAAACAAGCGGCTGTTGATCCCGCTAGCAACACTTTGCTTTAGCGTTTACTTTCCCATTAAAACAAACAAAAACTATAGAGCTCCTCGCGCCTCATCATCAACCATAGACCAATCGGAAAACGCAAAGATGACCAAGCCCGATCAAGGAAATATGAGCGACTTATATAAGCCAGACTTTCTCCTTCGATGGTCTCTCCAGAAAAGTGCTTGCGATTGAGCCCTGCAGCGCTGTTTTGAAGCGTGCTAATCCGCCCTTCCCGATGTTTCTGTTATCTTATTGCTACACTCTGCGGTAGATGCGACAACCTCATTGAACAAGAAGGGAGGCAGGAAACAAAGTCAATCGATGTCAAACGCTAATCGTGATGTGAAACAAGCGGCTGAAAAAAATTTGACACAATTGCAATCAGATACAAAATTGACTAAAGATACTCTATCACTTTACATATTTTCAGTTACTTCAATTATGGAAGAATTGGTTTTACAATGGGCCACGAGATGATGCACGCTTACGATATCAAATGTATGGCATTTCACTTAATTTACTGAAAAATGTTGAAGGATTAATCACATGCCCAATCAATAATTACTTTAGGCTGATTGTTGTATCAGCCTAAATTAATGAGGGTTTTTATAATTCGTAGACAACCCGATCTCAAAAGCACATAATTTGAAGCGCTCTTTACATATAAGGCATTATGGCTAATAGGGCAGGTATCTTACTTGCTTGGCCTTCCGAAAAAAAATGTTTGCAATATGCCACTATAAGCTTTTAAATTCATGACTATCTTTGGAACCGTACTATCTAAGGCAAGCAAGCACACCTCAAAAAACACTGGCTTCTGCCTGCTCCTCCCATCACACCCTCTCCCCCCTCCCCAGAGCCCCTGCTTCCTCAACCGTCTTTTTCTCTATCTTGAAGACAGCGTCCAGGCACGCGTCTCCAGCGATGTATTGAGCGGACTGCACCGTCTGGCAGAATTTTGCGCGGGAGCCGTCATGAGGGCGTTGGATCCCCACGCGCATGCAACTCGACGCAAGTACGCCAAATACGGTAGTGGGGTTTGGTTCGGTGACGAAACCTCTAACAGCGAGAATTCTATTGCTTTGGCAGTTAGGCACTCAAGATCAATTACGACGTGCCTTCCTCATGTGCCCAGATTTGTCAAGCTGCATTTATAACATACACCACCATGCGCATGCATAAATTTTTTGTTTTTAGACGATATGACTACCTGAAAGTGAAGAAATTTTCGTACATATCCTCGAATGCTGAATAAAGGTTATCATTCCGGACCTAGGACGTCAATTGCTATAGCATCTTTGGCAATTGTGATACTGCGAAATATGTTGTAAATGTGTTATTAATCTCTTGCGAATTCTTGCAAGAGAACAATAACACAAATAAAAACAACGCTCTTATAGAATTACCTCCACCTTGAAATTGCCAAAAATTAGTCATTGTCCGCGCAAACTTGACGATAGAGAATACGGTTGAAGCCGAGACTGTGACATCTTCCAATGTCCAGAATATAAAGTTAGTACAAAGTTAGAGGCCTATCGCCGTCAAGCGTTCGTGTTCGAAATTTTTTTGACACCTATACCTAAGTCAGATAACATGAAGAGAGTTATACAGGGTGTCCCAAAAGTAAGTAAACACCTTTAAATCGTTAATATCTCTCTTCCCAATGGGTCTTTTTTTGCCAGTCAAGTAACATTCTGTAGAGGAATCTTCAACTTAGATTTACAGTATCAATCCAATCATCGATCGCTTTTCTTTACTGTGGGGTTACGGTAAGGACTTCCAGCATGTGGAACCATCGTGAAATATGCCATCTAACAAAATTTTTTTCAAAAAACCTGAAAAATCGCGTACTAGGGTTTTCGCGCACGCTGATCCATCTACACAACTTTACGGTTTTTTTAGCTTTTTTGACGGTGTAATCATTCCTGACAAATACTGGAAATTCATCCACTTCGGTTTACCTGGGATAACTTTGGAAAGAAGCATCAAGGATAGTGGAAATTTCATAGTTGAAATCAGCGGCCTCCACTGTCATATTATATGAGTTTTTGGCTTGTTTGGTTTTGTTCCGAAGCAGAATATGCTTCCGATAGCCTAAAATCTTTGTCAAAATTCCTACAGTAATCCTGCAGTAATGGAAAGCGGACGGTGACTCCCTCGACGCTGCAAATATAAGTTGAAGCCTCCTCTACAGAATGGTACTTGAATGGCGGAAAAAGACACAATGGAAAGAGAGATATCAACGATTGAAAAGTGTGTACTTACTTTTGGGACACCCTGTATGTGTCATATGCTACCTGATTGACATGCTTTGCACATTTTGGGAAGCTTGTAACTCCCATTTTGAATAGAAAAGGGCCTGCAGAAGGTATGCATAGATATACGTTTCGTTCAATTATTCGTTTCATGTAATTCTGTATTTTTTATGTGTTCGTTTATTCATTTTATTTCGTTCATCATATGTGGACATATGATGAACGAAATAGTCTTTGCCACTTCACAATTTTTTTTCAAATTTTTCACTTGAGCGCGCCAACTGCGCAACTCGTTCATGGAGCGTGCTTTTCTCCTTGGAGTTAGCTATATTTTGCTGGTGGTTTTGACACGTTGACGTTGGCGCCGCGCCATGGTGCGCGGCACCCTATCAAGTTTAATGTGCCCAATCATTTTAAATTGTGTTCATACCATAAATTTAGGCTCAGAAGTAGTATACTGGCCCTCCTTCTCTTGGCAGACTACACCCACTCTGCTGCCATCTGCAAAACTTTTTTGTGCTCAGAGCGCATAGAGGAGGTCATAAGTGACTGGAAAATCTTAAATAACCTTGAATTCACTTCCCCCCGCCCTTAGGCACCCTCCGGCCCTTCACTGGCAAGCTTCATCCACTTTTCAATAATGCCAAAATTTGCACGAATTTTTGAAATTAAAGCAATTTCCAGTCATAAAGAGGAGCTTTCCCGCTTCTTTGTCAGGGCCCGGCACGAGATTGTCAAATGACAAGCTGGAATCCGTTTTCGGCTCCAAAAAAAAGCAAAGGGGATATCGTTTTTGCGGGTCCGGGGCGAAGCCCCGAAAAAAATTGGTAGGTTATGTTCTCTGCTTATCTTAACATGTTATGTGCCTCAACTCAGACACTCGCGGTTGACTCGCGCAGGGCAAAACGAGATGTAGCCATTGAATGCGTGGGCGACTCGCGAAATCGGTGTCGCGGCAAAATCAGGACACCTGATTTTGTGTCGCGGCAAAAGTGCGCGGCAAAATCGGGGCAAAATCAGGACACCTGCGCGAGACACCAAAATGTCGCGATCGTTCAGAGCACGCGGTCTACGCCCTTAGTGAAAGCTTTTTGCGTTCTCTAAGCGCTCTCTCATGCCTTCCTTTTGACTTACCTTGAGTCCTTTGTCACGCTGGGTCCCGCTTCTCACGCTTGTTTCTTTTCTGCTGATAAAACCCAGTCTTACGTCATAAAATTTATTAACAAATACCGCATGATCTTCTCGAGTAGAGTTTACAATGACATGGAAATGATATGCACAGTCAGCAGCAATTACAGGATTGAAAACACCACAAAAACGACACATTACGAAAAAACTACGACTAAGAATGAGAACAGCATCAGTCTTCGACTACTTCAACTTCGTCTTCGACGGTTTCAGTCTTCTGAATCACTTCGTCTTCTTTAGTAACAGTGCTGCCTTCGACCATGACACGCTTTTTCTGAAAATGAAAAATTATTGTTACCAGGATCGTATAAAACAAATGAATCACTTTTGATGGAAGGAGCATGGCCCTATCAGGGTCAAAATGATACCTTCAAAGGTCTTCCCTGCAAAATTATAGTTCAGAAGTATCGCTTTCCGTATGAGAAAACTCACAAAGCTCTCCCTATTGCTATCCTCGTTTTACCGCTCCAGATTACTCTTTTCTCTGAGAGGATGTGGAATAACTTTCGCGAGCGTCGTCATTTTCGGCCAAGTCCAACCACCACCTAAATTCTAGTGGACATGAAGGTCTTTCGAGAACATACATACTTATTTGGATTTCGTTTGTGCTCATCTGGCGTCCTCAAAAGCTGGTCGCGGTGTAGGCCAAGAGCGTCAAGGATGAAACCTAAATCAGTTATTGAAAGTAATGTACTCAAATACACATTGACCCACTTATTAAGAAATCGACTAATCCTTCCGGGAGGTCCTTAAGATGGTCAAATTTTCCCTTCTTTCCGCTCTGTCTACAGGCGTACTGTTGAATTTTCGTAGGTGGTTCGCACGCCTAAACGGTGATTACAAGACAACCTTATCATCTTCATCTATTTGTCGCTTACATTTAGAAAGAAGTGTCGCATAAAGTCGAGCACCAAAAGGAAATGATCATGGTCATGCGCGCGTTTTGGTCTCTGCCATTTTTCCATGACTTCAACCATATTGAACTCCTAAAACTAATGTTTTTTCCTCGTTGACTGAGAATAGTGTCTAAAGACCTTGAAGGGTGGTGAACTGTCACGATGCCAGACCCTCGATATATTTTTTCTTTCCAGTGTGTAACCCTCTGGCAACGATATCTCTCGATTTCTTGCAACGTGAAAAGTAGTCCTTTTCAACTCTTTGTCTTGCTCCTTCAGCTTAGATAGTAGGGCGTTCACCTGCAAACACGCCAATTGTTATTCTTGAACCCTGCGGAAACACGCTTACTGTTAGAGACAATCCTGCAATGGTATGCATTTGCTCGTTCACGACAGAAGTAAGAGCTCGGACAACCGAGTCTGATGAACTTGGAAGTGTTTCAATGCTTGTCTGCATATTCTTCACGTGCTCCATGTTGATTTTGATGTTGGTTATCTTGGACGTGAGCATCTCCTTGAACCGCATGAGTATTTTCATCACTTTCAGCAGAACATATCTATTTTATCTAACACCTTTTTAGCCTAACGGAATCTTTTCAACCCGAAGTTAGTGATGCCAATTGGAAACCTGCGCGGATATCGCAACCCTATGTATTTCAAAGATGCAAACCTGAGCATCTCTACGCCGCTACGAAATATCGCTCACTCGAAAAACTTTTCAGAAAATTCTTAAAGTAAGGCATTTGCACAGCGGCACGCTATAATGTGAACTCTGCTGATAAAGAAAATTACAGGCGAGAATATGCGACCAGCACGGAAGTCATCCACCACTCACACACTGAACCTCAGAAAACCTTTCACTCAATTGCGATCAAGGATGTTCCTGACGCATATAAGTATTCATACTCTCCTAAACACGATCTATATCGGGTTCACAAGCAACTACAGCCCCTTACACGTAATCATGGTAACCTAAGGGATATTGTATTATGTAGATTAGATTCGACCCAAATGGGTTAAGAAAGATAAGAATAGTAAATGAAATAAAAACTTAAAAAAGGAATGGGCTGAGGTAAAAACTTGCCAAACTCTTTCATGTCGTTGACATCATCTTCCAATGCAAGGCGGTAATCATAGCCTGAAAGACATCAACTTATATAATGACAGAAACCGTAAACATCTAGGCTTACTCGATCTGCCGGATACCATGCTTTGTGCAGAAGATGCTATAGCCCTGAAGATGTTACGATTCGTCTTGGTGTTGTCCGATATAAGACCGAGTGCGTCACTATCCAGACTGGATTCCGATTTTCAAGTAATTTTGAAAACACGCGAAACTCTGGAATAGAACTGAGGACTGTGGATAGGAAAGCAACTGAAAATTCGACAGAAAAGCTTGTGAGGAAAAAGCAGGATCTTTAAAATAGGAACTGCACAGGTAGCAATATGACTGCAGCTTTCTGATACCCGTCGATATGATCATATTTCAAATGATGGCTTTGCTCAAAACATAGAAATCTTAAGAAAAAAACCATGTCTCAAACATGCTTTTAGCTTGCGAGCTTTCAGCGACGCAGCTGCAACACTCAAGGAAAACACGATTTTGATCACAATCAAACCTCATACGACTTTTTTGTGAAGAACGTGACTGGAATTCGCTGCCTAAAGTTGTGTAAACAGCCTAAGACTAGACTTCAACTAAAGCTGTGGCTTACAATGCTGCTCAAACATGTCAGAGTCCACAAACTATTGCACTGCAGTAAGCTTAAGTGAAGAAAAATCTATACGGAAGTGAATCTAAGCATAATAGAGTCTGCAATAGTGGTATGGGCATTCGGGAATGTATTTCGCTTGTACTTTATGAAAAAAAAACGTCTGATATAATCAGAATGCACTTAGCCTTATCAGCAGAAAAATGTCGGACAGAGACGATAGTTCAGAAATAAAGAGTGTAAAACGCCTCACTTGCTCCACACAGTCGCCAGAGCTATAGTGTATGTAACGAACACGAGTAATATCAATTGTTGTAGGCGAAGCAGGATCATGCGGTTACTTGCTACCGCATAACACTGGTCAAAACTACTAAATGAAGCCATCTTTCCGCCTTTCCGAGAAGTTTCGAAAATTCGAATGGAAGTGTCCGCTCACTTGTTTATACAAGTTTGTCGCTGGCAAAGATCACACAGCAACAGCCTATTGAGACGGACATGAGCATTGAGACAGAGCAGACATGAGCAAGCATTTCGAAATCTCTTCTCCCCGCGTTGCAGTTGCGAAAGGGCGCGAAGATTGCTTGGAGCGCGGGAGCTGACTTGTTCAGCGCGGCCTCGCCCGTCGCGGCAAAATCGCACTAAAATCGGGGCGAAACTAAAACGATGACTCGCGCCGGTCCACCGGATTTTGCTGCGAACGCCCACTCAGACAATCGCTGGGGGCAGGCGGGCACCGGAAAAATAGATTGCTGATTTCTCGCACCCCGCTCGCGGATTTTTTGGAAAGCAATCAGGACTTTTCGGAAGACCGCTCGCTGAGTCAGCGGATTTTTGAGAGACCGCCTGTTGAATTTTTTTCGCTCTTATCTTTTGCAGATATATTGCTGAATCTTTGAGAAATCGAGAGCTCAGCAAGCGGTCTTCCGAAAAGTCCTGATTGCTATCCAAAAAATCCGCGAGCGGGGTGCGAGAGATCAGCAATCTATTTTTCCGGTGCCCGCCTGCCCCCGGCGATTGTCTGAGCATTTTGTGGGCGGATCCCCTGCGCGGCTCAACCGCGAGTGTCTGAGAATAGGCGAGTACTGGAGTTCGCGCGCGTCAAACCGCGCGTCGCTAATTGCCGCACGCGCGACGTCGCTCAAACGATGCTGTTTGTAACAGCATACATGACTAGTTCTCAATGTATCGTAACAATATGACACCAAATTTTGTAAGCAAACGGAGAGAGGCTAGTAGAAACAAAGTATGAAAAATTATGAAAAACTTATGTGAACGGAACGAGTAATAAGCATTTTTTCCGAAAATTTTGCAAAATTCGTAAATGAAGATGTGAATTCAAATGGCTCGTTTGCAATAAGCAAATGACGACATGGTATGAAACTTGATACGTACGTGGACACAAGACTGTCGGAGTTAAATTAGGAGTTTCATTGAAAATTTATGTGACTGAAGGTTGTGGCAAACTTTTTTCTGGAAATTTCCCGCTACCAAAAAAACGAAAAAATGGCTCGTTTGCAACGCAGAGGGGAGGAAATCGCGCGAGATTTGGTGTGTATATGCGCAGTAGGACTAAGTAACAAGGTATGAAAAATTATGAAAAACTTATGTGAATGAAGAGCGTGCCTAACTTATTTCCAGATTAGCTTGTCATTTGACAAGCTAATGACAAGCTGAGCTTGTCAAAACTTTCAGTTCACATAATTTTTTTCAAAATTTTCACATAAATCTACTCTACACCTAAAGTTTAGTATATATTGAAATTTTGGTTTCAAACCTCCTCCTCTCTTCATTGCTAGAGCCAAAAACACCTCCAGCAGCCCCGTGTCTTAAGCAGGAAAGCGCGCTCCAATCGATAACGGCGTCGCTGGGTTTTATAATCGGCGTTTTTTTCGTTTTTCTCACCATTTTCGTGTCAAGCTGTATCTAAATGAATAGAAGGTGAGTTCCTTGTTCATTTGATTGTGATTATGCCAATTTGCATGAGTTTTACACTTTTTGCATAGTAATTGATATGATGTTTATATTTTTCGCCGCCTTCGACTTCTCTTTTTCAGTTTTCTCACCGTTTTTTTCCTAGATCGCGCCAAATTGAAAAGAAGGTGAGTGTGTTGTTTCATTTACTTGTGTATGATGCAATTTGCGTTCATTACATGCTGTTTTGAATGTTGCTACGACGCCTAGCTCTCCCTTAGGGCCATGTGCGTTGTCAAAACTCGGTTTTTTTTTGAATTTGTGCTTCTTGTGCAACCTAAATATGCTTATTTATCTCACATTTATACCGTGCATGAACAGCGCTGCTCTTCCAGTGAGTTTTTGACTTTTACGTTCTATTGTGACATAGCCAAGGTGGATGAAATGAGATGAATTTTTCTTCTCATTTCTAAGTGCTTTGCTTTTTCATCACTTCTACTCTTTCTTTCTTGTACCTATCTCTTACCTTCATTTTTTACTGCGTCATATTCATCTCCATTTTTGTCATTGACAGGGTTACGCATCATTCACTCATCTATTTTGTGAGTAAGAGAGTTATATGATAATGTGACCTTTGGAGCAACGCTGCTTTTTCTTCCTCACCTTCCTTTCCTACATCTTTCATCAAAAATCCGTCCCATTGCACTACACTCAGAGTTTAGGGCATTTTCAAGGTTTCGCGTGCATGAAATCATCACAACAGCCACTGCGCTGCTGCCGCTGCGGGGCGAGCGTCTTCGCCGTTTTTTTTTCTTCAATAAAAAGTTCTATGGGTAAAGTGTTCGCTGCGCAATCACTGGGATTAGTTTTTGGGTCAAAGAGGTATTCGTAAAAAAAATTTTGGGGTCAAAGGGGAATTCGTTTTCGAAAACCCCTTTTGACAACCTCGTGCCGGGCCCTGTTCTTTGTGAATTCATAATTTACGGATAGGTGCATGCATTTATACACGCAGCTAGGCGTGAAAGTGCAACATCTCGTCCACAAGGACAATGAAAAAAGTGGTTCATTGTCAACGTTTGAGAGGAGAGGGAGTTTTGCAACCAAATTATTACTATGGAGACTCCGATGAGGTATATTAATCTGCAAGTCATGAAAATAATGTGAATTGACCACTCTAGGATAAGATAATCAGAGGCGTACTGTTGTCTGTGCGTTGCTATGATCGTTCTCCCATCTCCTAGTATGCAAATGTCAAAAAAGTTTGCCCAGCGGTCACAGTAATTCTCCCACAATTACGTGTGTGCTGTAAGTGAGTATGATGTTTACCATTTGATGCAACACAACACTTCGAAACTCGAGTTTCAAGCAAGATCGTGCTTAAGACCATGTAAAACCTTGTCCGTACAGGGCTGTGGATGGGTGAGATATGGATGGTGCTAATTACAAGGATTATTAAAGAACAATTCGACTAAAATCCTATTAACTTTCAAAAAAAATCTCTCTAGCGACTCTGCTCTCCCTCTCCAAACACCCTTGCAGTTTATAATTTCATTTCGCGTCGGACCTAATTGATTGTTACAGATTCAGAAAAAAATGGAGCGCACAATTATGGTTGAGAAGATTCACCGCCACCTTAGAACTCGTCCAAACCTTCAAGATCGCCAGGCATATTGGTCAGATAGAACGATCCTGACCAAATTCGGCAGGACGCCTGTACACTTCCGCAGAATGCTCAATACGTCGAATATCATACGCCTCAACATTCTCTTAGAGATACTGCTAAACAAGAAGCCAAACTATCGTTCGCAAACCACCAATTCATGCCTCTCCGACGTCCTGGGCATAACCGAGTCGGCATTCGACGGCGCTAATGGGCGCCTTCTGACGGAATTCGGAACAATGATGGTGCTGCCCAGGACTAATGCTAACAGATGGTTCTGTTACTGCCGCATGTGCCCAGTAGGCACTACCCTCGTGAACCATGTTTACAATCGCACCAACGAGCTGCCTGACGACATGACCCTGCCGGTCATCCGTCTTGGAATGGTAAGCGAAGTGCGCTATCTAATGATAGAGCAGATTTGGATTCAAATACCTCTTCACTTTTTCTATGAGAAGGAGAAAGTGAAGGGAAAAGGAAGGGAGGGTGGCTCAGAAGTTGCGGTGCAGCGGCGCCAGCCGAAGCTGGCGGCGGAAGTGCGAGGGTCCCCCGGAGGCGGGGTTACTTTCCTTTTATACTCGCATTGACGGCGGCCTGTGCGGGCGCAACCAATAGCGCAGTGGTGGAGATTTGCGCTTTTCCTACACTACCGTGCTAGCGGCGCGCCTAAATTTGTGGACGTGGCATCGCTGCCGACGGCGACGCGCCATCGAAACCTGCCGTGCGAACAGCATGCTTTATTTCCGGAGGACCGCGCGCCATTTTGAATAACCTTGTGAGCGGCCCCCATGAAACGTGTCGGGACCCAAAGTAACACGACGCCTTCTCTCCCGTTTTGTCTTATCATTTGAATTATTGTTAGTCGTAGAAGGTTGTATTTGTGTGTCGCATCGTCGGCTGTCTGCTCGTTCTGCCGGTGACTGCCTCTATTCTATCTGTGAGCTTTCTTTGGTTCGTATCATATCGAAGTGTTTATAGTCAACCCCACAGCCCAGTTATGGAAGTGTTCATTTCAAGCACAGGCAAGGATCTACTTTTCTCCTAAATTTGCTTAGCAGAACCCCTGTAGGAATTTGATGTAAACTGGGTTTTCGGATTTAGTGAATATTTAACGGGTACGGACACGATAAGTGAAATTGATGGAGCAGTTCGAACTTGTCCATCAGTCGAGTGGCCAAAATAGAGTTAGCAAACATCGGAACAAAGTGTTTTGTTTTTCAAAGATCTAGTAGAAAACGACAAAGGAACTGAGGCGTTGAGGAGTTCAATATGCAATGTCTTGATTATCTGCCGATTATTCAGTTCTCTTTAATTTGTTCTGTAAATCCAAAGATTAATGAGAACATCATTATAAATACAATTGAGGCGAGATATACGTCAGTACTTATCCGAATCAGGAACATGGCTACCTAATAAGGTAAGATTATTTTCATGTTTCGTACGTAATGATTTGACTTGTCTTTTAGCGTCAAAGCAAGCGTGCCGCACCAAACGTGGAGACTGAAGTGTTAGAGACCAAAAAAAGAATAAGTAGCAGCATCTGCGACCAGCTAGGCCATGTCATACCTATCGTTTCAACACTACCTATCTTGCTGTTTTCCTTCACACAAATATGCCTTCTCGAGAAAACATGGATTTAGATCTATCCATTTATATGTTTTTCACTCCATGTTTTCTCTGCCTCTTCTCCTTATTCTCTTTCATCCAACATTTGCCATGCAAATTTGGTGTTGCTCTATTTGTTTTTGTCGAATTTTTTTAGGTCTGCTTTTATGTCATTTTCGTGAATATTTCAATAATAAATCTGGCATTCTGATGCTTGCTTAATGTTTGGCAATAGATCTATGATTATAATTTTTATTAACATAAGAGTTTTGTTATCGGAGCACTATCTGATTCGTACAACGCTTTTAAAGAAGCGAGCGAGCCGCGTGTCTTCAACGAGCGAGCCTTGTACCTTTACCTTACGGGCGTTCGTCGTCGGAAAAAGGTCGAGATCATTATAAAAGCTTCTCTAGAGGATTATTGGTTTTTCAACGGAGAACTTTTCAGCAAGAAGATGATTGCGGATATCGTCATCTATCGATTGATTATGGCTTAGTAGCTCTTATAAGGCAATGGCCCGCAGTAAACCCCACTTTACTTCCGATGATCTCAACTGAGAGGCTGAGTTGAGGTATTTAAGATAAACTGACCAGCGGCTGCGTCCACAAGCTTAAGAATGCTAACTGATCTGACGAGTAAGCGTCAGATCAGGTGCCGCGATGAGTTCACCTGAAATCCGTAAGAGCAGCGTCGATTTTGAGATGAATTGACCGAAATAGTGTGCAAAGGATGAGACGCAGAGAAAAATCCCGTAAGTTGCTCGTGAGTAACTTACGGGACATCTTACTTGACGTATTGTTGCGGTACAAGAACGCGCGAAACTGCACAATACCGGTGCCCAAAAAGGAAAGGGTCGATGAACAGCTGATTTCGGCATGAAAACAAGAGAATAGGTTTTCTCCTTTTTGCAGGGTTTGCTTAGGTTATCTCTACAAAAGCTACAGTCGAGTAGATTTCCTGCTTAACATAGTGTCCCTGCAGACGCGACAACGTTGGGGCGTCAATAATTGCCTGACGAGTTCCCGAGCTAGTGTTTTCCGGTGTTTTCTTTGCTTATTCTATGCTTTTTAGGTGATTCGTTGCTGATAAAGAAGAAAAGGGTAAGTTAAAGAGTAGTTTCTGTTTTCTAAGAAGTTTTATCATCGAGTATTCACAGATATCCACGTGGAAGCAGTTCGCGTTATCTTCTTGTCTATTTTCTTGTCACTTCATTTTTCTTTCCTCTTGTGAGGTACTTCTTTGAACGCTAGTGGGTTTTTACGATTGATTTATTGTATTTATTACATGAAGCACTGGATTAAAATGCTAGTGTTGTCGCTTCTGCAGGGACACTATATTAAGCAGAAAATCTACTCGACTGTACTTGGAGCGACAATCTCTTTATTTATTTCCACGCATTTTGTCCCTACTTCCCCAATTTTTGATGAAATCTTGGTCAAAAAACGCAGTTTTGTTTTTTGCATTGTTTTGGTTTGTGGATTCCTTGATAGCGGCCGTCATCGATTTTCTTCGATAGTGGCCGCTATCAAAGATTGCTCAGTGATGCGCAAAAATTTGCCGCTGGTCGGCGCCAATCACATATCCGTTTGACCAAACCTGCACAAGCAATGTAGGTGTTTCCCCTTTGATAACGCGTAAGATCTCTATACCTGAAAAGCGATCCGCGTCTAGATCAATAGCTCGCCGGATGCTGGACTGAGGCGCCCCACGATCAACTCAGGTCCGTTCCAGGGCAGATCCCCTGATCGGGGGCTTACTACGGGCCAATGTCTAATGCATAAAAAATCTGGTTACTTTGCTATTGCAAAAATTTTGCAGTGTTTTTTAAATCTATGCAAATTCTGAACGACTAGCCTCTATTTGGAATGCCGTTAAGTAATCATTTTAAATAGTTTCAAAGATTTCTGAGCCTAAAAAGTCTTTGGAACATTAATATTAGGTAGGCGCAAAAGTTTTCGGTCATTTTCAGACTAGTTCTGCTATTTCTCGAAACCTATTGCATGAACATCCTATAGAAACACCATCCAATAAACCAAAGGAAGCTTCACAAAAAAAGGAATGTAAAAATTCGCACCCCTTCAACTCACCGTTTGCACGAATCTGAGCCGTATTGAAGGCTCGAAAATTGGGAAAAATTTATACTTTCGTTCAAAAAAATCCTACGGATCTCCAAATTTCATACAAACTGCACGCCACATCAGACTTTCATATGTACCGTTGCTTTTCCTCATACAGAAATCGTGAAAACGAAAGTTCTCACGTTTGTACAAAAACGAAGCCACGTCTCCCTTATTATTATATCACTGCCTCACCTCTGCTTCGCAGAGGTTCGCACTGGCCCTACTACCTACAGTCTACACTTTCCCGCATGATAATCGCTTTGAAACTCACCGCTCTCGCTGACTATGAGGCATGAATTGTAAATAACTGCTCATTCTAAGAGTTTTACATGAAAGATCGGCATCATCGTTTGGAAGAAACTTTTTGCAGAAGAATAAGTGCAAAATTGATTCATTTTCGACTTTTTCAGCCTTCGGTAGTTGATATAAGGACAGTCAGAACTATAAGCTACATATCTGTGCAGAAATTTCCTCAAATCATTGAGTAAAACATGGGTAACGTTGGGTATCATTAGGTAAGGGTGAAGACTAATTGACCATCTAGGCAAACAATCCTTCTTGGCTTCATTTTTGCTAGAAAACATGATTTTTGATTGGTTTTTATGTTGGAATTGTCGACTTCGAAATATACATGCCGACCAAAAAAAATAATCTCGCAAAATATCTACATATAGACCCTGTCTTGCGGGCCAGATGCCGCGTGGACTCGTTTGACGTGCAGTTTCCGAAGGTTTCGCTCATCGAATCGACTTGTGCTTTTGCACATTGAACCTACATGCTGATAGGGTGCTACGATCAAAATTCTAGCTCAGGATCTTTGCTGGAACTCGCGAAACTCTGGAACACACACACGTACATACATACACACATACACACATAACACATACACACATACACACATACACAATGCACACAGACACACATACACACATACACACATACACACATACACACATACACACATACACATATCTTGGTTTCAAACGGTAAATTTCGCTATCTAGAAAAGCGTCTGCAATCGTTAGAGGTTCCTGCACAGAAAGTTAAGAATGCAGCTCAATTCTCCCGAGCATCTCACAGTTTTGCTCCTTCTGAAGAAAGCTCTCAAGCAAATGCTATCGTTGCACACTAGGGCTCGCATGCATGAAAACTCCTGCGGCGAGGGGAGCGGCGTCCCCAATGACAAAAGTCGCAACGGGTTTTGTCCGCAACCTCCTCATAATGGGAATGCCGCTCCTCGCCGCAAAGATTTTGAAGCATATGGGCTTGGGAGTTCAAGGGTACTTTGGGCGAGCACCAAACACGTAAAGTTAGTCACTTGTGTCTAGGTTACTTGAAGCAAGTTTCCTTCCGCATCACGTTTTTAAGTTGGTCAACGACTAATTAGTGGAAGTGTTTTAGTAGTAGAACGAAAACCATGTAAACCAGACCAGATTGCTCGCAAGCCTATCCTTTAGTAGGCATTTCGACGCGTAAATGAGACAGTTTCATTTCCATGCAGTCTATCAAAGCGGCCAATTTTCTATATAGGCAGTGGCTCGACCGAATCCTTACTGCGAGTCTTCTGCTTGAACGTGACCTTTTGAATGCGCTGAGCCCATTTGCTTGGACTTTCTCAATGTTGAATTTTATTTCTTCCGCCCTTAGATGCTTAAGGGGCTGGAAAAGAGATTCTCACCAAAAAGAGCGAGGGGACTGGCTATAGGGGACTCTATGGGCGGGGCCACTCCACCCATTTTGACCGATACTGACTGATTCGCTCAATCAGCCAATCGCTGCTCAGTTGGCTGGAATTTTCTTCCCCCCCCCCCCCCACCCCTTCTTCAGCAATCTTCAAGGCCGAGAAACGTCAAAATTCCACAGCGACTCAGCGCACTCGGAAAATTAAGGAATAATGAAAATCGAGTAATAGCAATTTCCTCGAGGCACTGCCTCAGGAGCATGAAACTTCATGCAATAGTCAATGTTCCAATTGGGTCATGTTTTTGAAATCGGAAAGATCTAATGACTCAAAGTTTTTGTTGTACTTACAATTATACTGCCACGAGGTTTCTCTATCGAAGTTCTTTAAACTCTGGCTTTTCAAAAAAGCTTGAGCAAAACCTGTACCTGATAAAGGGGCAACGGTAGCCAAAGTAATCAAAACCTCATAATAACGGGCTAAGGGTTGTTTACGTGTGTGTGTGTTGTGTGTGTTTGTGTGTGTGAGTTGTGCGTGTGTTTGTGTGTGTATGTGTATGTGTATGTGTATGTGTATGTGTATGTGTATGTGTATGTGTATGTGTATGTGTATGTGTATGTGTATGTGTATGTGTAGGTGTATGTGTGTGTTTGCGTGTATGTGTGTATGTGTATGCGTATGTGTATGTGTATGTGTATGTGTATGTGTATGTGTATGTGTGTGTATGTATTTGTGTGTGTATGTGTGTGTTTGTGTGTGTGCATGTGTGTATGTGTATGTGTATGTGTGTGTGTGTGGTGTGTGTGTATGAGTATGTGTGTGTATGTGTGTGTGTGTGTGTGTGTGTGTGTGTGTGTGGTGTGTGTGTGTGGTGTGTGTGTGTGTGTGTGTGTCCGTTACGAAAATCGTACAGCGTGTTCCAGCCAGCGTTCTAAACTCAAATGTTGCATAGCGCATGCTGCTTTCATGAAAGTCCGACATGCAAAAGCACGAGTAGATTCGTTGAGTGGATCAATCAGAAAATATTCGCCAAACAGATCCACCTGGCTTCAGCCAAAGGTCCGTACCACCACTTTTTGCAAAGTCGTGGATGTGTTTGGTAAGCAAATGTCTAAGCGATGGGCTTTAGCCCGAAAAGTGGACAAAAGTCTTCTACATAACGAAAACGGCGCCAAAAGAATTAGTTGCGTAAATGGTCAATTTGTCAAAGTTCTAGCCAAGCATTTGACGAGTTTTTCACACAGAGATGTAGCTCACAGTGACTATTGCCTCTATGGGGACTACCAGGCCATGACAAATTCAAAAACCTATTCAAATTTGCGTTTGTCTTCCTGCGAAAAGTTTATCCACGCGAAATTACCGATCTCACGTGAAAAAGCTTTCTGAATAAGTAGCTGTTCACACTTTATTCGTGGTAGTCGGCATAGCGCGGTGAGTTCCAGTGCCGCGATTTTACGAAAATGAGTAAGTCACAGAGATAGAGGGCCAGTGCGAGCCCCTGAGGAGCAGAGATGACGCACTGGTACACACATACACACATACACACATACACACACAACACACACAACACACACAACGCGAACAACGCTTGGTCCGTCATTACAAGTCATGATAGTACAAGCCCTTAGAAGTAAAACCGTTAATTTTCAGTTTTATACAGGCCCTAGTTTCCAAAAAGTGCCTAATTGAAATCCCATCACTAGGGCGCTCCATGCTGAAAACAATATTTTTCGGAAACTAGGCTTTGCGGAAAGCTAAAATTTACGGTTACTCTTCTAAGAGCTTGTCCTGCATAAACATGGGTGAAAACAGCATAGCTGTTCGTAAAAGCATAATAAGTTTCGTTTTCTCGATTTTAGATGAGGAAAAGTACAGAAACGATACAGGTGAGTGTGTGATATGGTGTGCAATTTGTGTGAGCATTATGGGATTGGAGACTAAATCCTACGGATTATAAGGATTTTTCGAACGAAACTATGAAATTTTCTCATTTTTGAGCCTTCAGTACAATTTAAATTCTCTATGCGTTTGCGGGAGATCGAAGCTGGTGCGAGCTTTATACCATCTTGTAGAGCATGCTTTGCTCTTTCGAATGGTATCTCTAAAGGATTATAGCATTACGTTTCGAGAAGTGGCGGATCTAGTCTGAAAATTTCCAAGAACTTTCGAGCCAACCTAATAGATTTCATCAACGTACTGGACCATACTGACAGACGCAGTCAATGGCCAGCTACCCATCGAGTTGTAGGCTAGTTCCCAGCACCGGGAACATTCACCGTTACTTATTGACAAAATTAGAATTTTGTGTCGCAAAAAGTAAAAGTATGGTTCTGGTGAATGAAAGTTGCTGACCCCGAATATGTAGCTTCCGCTGTCGGAGTTCCCAACAGAGTGCTGCTCTTGCGGCGCTTCCGGCCTTCCGCTTTCGCATTTATTTTCGCAAATTTATACCGGCACCGATGACATTGTAGTATTTACATGCTATAGCTTTTTAGCGATCTTCCGGGATGAAAGTGGTGCAGAATTTCCCTTCTGGCTACCGGATAATTTTATAAAATCCAATCACCTTCCGAAAATGAACTTGATGCAAAAAATGTATCGAAAGCATTTCGAGGTAACGTTCTTGCTCTTTTGACTCACTTTATCTTGCATCAATTTTTTATTGCAGAGATTGGGTTACAACTTCCTCATGAAATCTACAAAGCAAGAAAACTTCGCAGATACGCAGGGAATTTTACTAGCTTACAAAGTAAGCTGGATTGTTCAGCTTATGTTCAAGCTCCCTTTTGCTTCCACCCAAAATTTTGACTTTCATTTGTCATGCAAGTATGGCACAAAATACTTAAAAACTCAGAAAAACCCGCTCACTTTGTCAGAAGCAAGTCCCGCGCGTATCGAATGTATAGAGTCAACGAAAGTTATCCGCTTGATCAAGACGACCAGTCTGTAGAGTAAAAGCTATAAATTCTATTAATCTGCGACACATACATCACATACTTCTAGGGGCTACATGGACGATGTGGGCTAAAATTGTATTATATAATTACAAAGACTGAGATTGTTGGTTCGTACTCATGATACATTCTGAGATTGCTAGTTCGTACCCATGGTACAATACCTCTCATAATTTTGAAAAGACGCAAAATCGCCCAAGTCATGTGTTCTCGACGTAGCGTGGCGATTTTTCGCTCCAGAGTGGACGAATTCTTAATCCAAGGGCACCTTTCGACTCAGGTCGGCCCGCGCATCAATGTTTAGAAGTGCACGTTTGGACACAATAATGGTCAGATTCGATATATCGTTCCAGATTGTTGCTTACAATGCGTTACTCAGTGCGCTTATTCGTTGCACTCACTGGACATCCTCAGCAAAATCTGAAATGATTCGTGGGATCTGTCTTATCAGTTTTTTATAATCATGTGAACGAAGCAGTAAAGCTCATTTTAGTCCCTCAATCCCGAGAGTGAATTGAAGTGAAATTGTTCCGAGGTAAGTCATCCATAATGGTAAAGAGGGGAGAGGAGGGAAGGAGGGGGTGGCAGTGCAGTAACCCTGCTGGCTAACAAAACAGCATCTACTTCATCCTAGTGAAGGCTCAGAGTTGGGCCACTATTATACACTACTATCTGGAAACCCGGCTCCTGACGGTTCTGTCAATATCGCCATGCCTTAGTTCCGTACAATTTACATGCCGAGTTCATTTATTTATTTATTACAGTGCACCTAAAGTGCCCAAATAAACAACATAGGAGCGGTTATTGCCAAATACAAAACATCAATACAGCACGATTCAATGGCATGCTTTCTGAAGATCTAAAAATGCACCGGTTACTAATATTGATAAGAAACTGAACCAAAAGAAAATCCAACACATCAAGCACTCAACTGCGCATTTTATTGTCTTCTAATTACAGCTTTAGTCAGAGAGCCAGCGAACCTACGGGCGGAGACTAGCTGGTTATAGCTCAAAAATAAAGTGTACGTTTTTGAAAGTAATAAGTAAAGTAAAGTCTTGTCCTACCTGACTATAAAACCAAACATTGGCAAGCTCGGTCTCAAAACTCTTTTCTACAGAAGATTTTTAGCCGGCATCTTCATGGCTTTCAAAATAGTGCGAGTTGAGGTGGGTTTGAGACCTAGCAAATATAATATTAGGTCTCTTTGGACCTACCAAAGAATGTAGAGTTTTTCGAAGTTGACGATATTCCTCTTGTTTTTGTACTTGGTGGCTCAACTTAGAACTGCTTTGAAGAAAGTAGATACTACAGCTGTTAGGAGTTGAAGATATTGCTTGAGGGTTTCAATTGAAGTTACTGACTGAACATTCATTTTTCCTTTCATCGGCTCCATAAACGCCCGGATACTTGACCAAGGATTTGCATTTAAGATTGAGATATCAGCCATCTTTGTCTAATAAATAGGAGTTCTGCCAATAAGAACAATGCATCTTTTGGAAAGATTAACTTTAATTTTCCATCGTCTGTCCAAAAAAACATTTGAAAGGTAGTATTGTGCAGCGCCATAATGACAATCTCCTTATTATGCTAATCACCAATATAAATCTTTACATCATCAGCATAAGCGGATATTCCAGTGCAGGGGTCTGTAACAAAAAAAGGCTGTTGAGTCAAGCGTGTATATGTTGAACAGAGTTGGTGATAGGATGCTGTTTTGTGGAATTCCGCATAATCTTGCCATCGAAATTTTATCATGGCCTTTGACTGAACATGCTCTACCTTGCAGATAAGTTTGAACCGTCGCAACTGGTAGACCTCTAACTCGTAAGCTTTCTACTCTAGCCAGTAAGGTAGTATGATCCACTGTATCGAATACTTTGTTTAGATCAAAGTACACAACGTTTACAGGCTGATTTCGATTCAACACTTTCCTGGCAAGTTGGCAACTTAGAAGCTATGTACAGCACCAGCAGTGCCGCTTTTCAAAACTGCGTTTTAAACGCAATAAGGCGCCGGAAGTGCCGCATTGCTATAATTTCTTTCAGGTTACTCCTATCGAGCTCTGGTTAAGATATTTGGAACCAGCGCTGTCCGGTGCATCCGACAGTATGTTTGAAAATTGAAAAATTCACAATTTTTCTGTGCCCTCGCGGCGCAATAAACGCGTTTTTGCATCGGAAGTGCCGCATTGTTACAACTGCTTTCATATTTATCCCACAAAAATCTTGTTTACACAGTTGTCATCAGTGTCCCTTGAGCTATCCGCCAATGTGTTTAAAAGTTTTGAAATCTCAATTTTTAGTGAATTACACGTTCACGTTCAAAACCTTTTTGGCCCTTTTTTGCACCGATAAGCTGATAACGACCTTCAAAGTAATCGTACAAAATTCTGAACAACATATTCGAAATCAGCTTTTCGCAAGCTATCCAACGATGTGTTAAACCTTGTTGTATCAGTGTCTGATCAGTTATTTTCTCGTATGATCTGCCCTCGCTGAGGCGCCTGCGACCTCAATGCGCGGGAAATGAGCGCTATAAAAGGCGCTCGCTGTTAGCCATTGTCAGTTCGCCTGTTCACTCATCGCCTCTTTTATTTTACTGTCCTCTATTATTTCCTAATAAATATTCCTGTATTTCCTCGTGTGTGGCCTCAGGACGAAGAGTCGACGTGTCCGAAGTGGAGGACACAACAGTGGCGATCAGGATAGCGGCTACTAGCGAAGAAGTAGCCGTAACGAAGAGACACGCGCCAGGAAGAAGTCGACGAAGAAGCTGGGAAGAGCTTAACGAATCGATCGATCGACATGGCGAAAGTGGACGTCCAGGAGATGATGATGGTCTTCAAGGAGATGATCAAAGAAGAAAGGAAGGAGATGATGGAGATGTTCCTGAAGCACATCGAAGGTACGAACCAGAACAGTTCGACGGAGATTCCGAACATGATGTCCGCACTAAGCAATCGGATCGAAAAGTTCAACTTCGACCCAGAAGCGGACGAATGTTTCAGCAAATGGTACGCTCGCTACAAGGAAGTCTTCGTCGAAGATGCGAAGCAGCTGACAGAGAATGCCAGGGTGAGGCTTCTCTGCGAAAAGCTGGACAAGGACAGTTTCGAAAAGTACCAGAGGCATGTACTCCCGAAAGAGGTAACCGCGATCAAATTCGAAGATACCGTCGAAACCTTGAAGCAGTTGTTCGACGTGAAGATTTCGGAATTCACTATGCGGTACCAGTGTTTGAAGCTGGAAAAGGCGGATTCTGAGGACTACCTCATGTATACGGGCCGAGTGAACGAATTATGCGAGAAGGCGAAGATCCACGAATTGGATAGCGATGGAATCAAATGTCTTCTATGGATTTTTGGCCTGAAAAGCCAAAAAGAAGCAGAAATCAGGCAGCGACTCATAGCCGTACTGGACAAGGAGTACAAGGCTGGACGAAAGATGTCGCTACACGAATTGTACCTGGAGTGCGAAAACTTCCTCAGTCTCAAGAAGGATAGCGAGACTGTAGCTGGTTGCACGAAGATTGTCGAAGCAGCAAGCAAGGAAGAACCCATGAAGCTGGAATGCTGGAACTGTGGTAAAGCTCACTTTGCCAGGGAATGCAAAGCGAAGCTGTGGTATTGCAAGAAGTGCAAGAAGACAGGTCACAAGGGTAAGTTTTGCGAACAAGTTGCTGAGAGAAAAGCAGTCGTTCAGCAGGATTGGAAACGAAGAATCCACAGAAGCAGCGACACCAGTAAGAACAGAAATTGGACGAAACCGAAACGTCATGTTCATAGTATCGCGAAGATTGCGAATGCGATGATGGAAGTGAATTCGACTCGCGTATATGTAGAAGCGAAAGTAAATAGCCATCCAGTTAGGTTTCTACTGGACACAGGATCAGATATCACCTTGCTGAACGAAGCAGTTTGGAGAAGTATGGGCACTCCACTGTTGGAAAAGACAAGCGTGATCGTTAAGAATGCTAGCGGAAGCTCCATGACAGTTCATGGAAAGCTATGGTGTGAGTATGAGATTAAAGGATCCAGAAGCGAAGGCTACGCATACGTGACGCCCCACAACTCACTGCTAGGATTGGAGTGGATCCAGAAGAACGAAGATATGTCGTATCACTTAAGCAGAATGGTTGCTGAAGTGAAGACAGAGCAAACCAAGGACATCGCTCTGAAGCTGAAGGAAGCCTATCCAGAAGTCTGCAAGGAAGGTTTAGGGCTCTGCACAAAGGAGAAAGCACACATGAGAATTAACGAAAACGTTCGTCCCGTTTTCAAGGCTTGCAGGCCTGTTCCACATGCTGCGCTCGAAGCCGTCGAAAAGGAACTGGACAGGTTATTAGAGCTGAAGGTCATAAGTCCAGTGACACACAGCGATTGGGCAGCTCCCATCGTATGCGTCAGGAAGGCGAATGGAAAACTGAGAGTGTGTGCTGATTTCTCAACTGGACTCAACAAAGCGCTGGAGTCGTATGATTATCCGTTGCCATTGCCGGAGGATATATTCGCTTCCCTCAATGGAGGCACGGTGTTTTCGCAGATAGATTTGTCGGACGCCTACCTGCAGATCGAGTTGTCAGAAGAAGCGAAGAAAATGGTCGTGATAAATACGCATAGAGGATTATACCAGTACAATAGACTGCCTTTTGGAATCAAGACGGCACCAGGGATCTTCCAGCAAATTATGAACAAGATGGTCAGTGGTCTGCGAGGGGTAGCAACCTACCTAGACGACATCTTGGTTTGTGGAAGAACCGAAGAGGAACACATGAAGAACTTGTTAGCTGTTTT